AACGTTTCATTAATTTTTTTCTTGAGTAGCAGTAAGAAATTTATGAATATATGAAAGATTTATGTGTATATGTATATTTTCCATACACAAAAAAATAACATGAAAGAAGACATGCATTGAGCCTTATTTCTTCTCTATATTAAGAGAATCAACTCACAATGATGAATAGTAAAGACCAAAAGAATCATAAAACCATGTTTTCTTTCTCCATGGAACTATGCTATGTCTTTTTAAAAAAATATTTAAATATTTACTTTGGAGGCATTATTGGTTAATTTTTTCTTTCTTTCTTTTTCTAATGCAACTTTTTTATAGCATATGCTTCCCATTTAATTTCCCCCCCCATTCATTCATTGTTGCACATTTTCCTCCCTGCTCCTTCCTGCGCCTCCCCCCCTTTGCTGGATGAATTACATAGATACCTAATGTTAAACCATCCTTGCATACGTGGTCTGAATCCTACTTGATCATAATGAATGACTTTTTGTAAGATGTTGGATTCTATTGGCTAGGATTTTGTTGAGAATTTTTACATCTAATTAATGAAGGATATTAGTCTCTAATTTTTCTTTTTTTAGTGGTGTTTTTGCCAGTTTTAGTGTCAGAGTTGTATTTAGTTTATAGGATGCATTTGGCAGATAATCTTTTTCTATATTCTGGGATAGTTTGAGTAGAATTGGAATCAGCTCTTATCTAAATTCTTGGTAGAATTCAACTGTAAAGGAGGGGAAGTCCTAAAAAAAGAATTGATATTATTTTTGTGACTTGTCCAATTTCTTCTTTTGTGATGGATCTGTTTAATCCCCCCCCCCATTTATATTAGTTTAGGTAGGCAGTGGGACCCAAAATAGTAACAAAGAAAGAAATTCAAGCTACACTGAAAGCATTGAAAAAAAAAAAAACAAGAGCCCAGGAATTGATGAGATACCAATTGACATGTCTCAAAAAACAAGATGTAGCCCTGCACATGCTTACCAGTCTGTGCCAAGACATTTGGAAAACAGCTACCTGGCCAACTGACTAGAAGAAATACATATTTGTTATCATTCCTAAAAAAGATGACGCAACAGAATGTAGAAATTATTGAACAATAATATCACTGATATCCCATGTAAGTAAAATCTTGCTAAAGATTATCCAAAACATCTAGAAACTACAGAAAACTGTCAGAAATTCAATCTGGATTTAGAAGAGGCAATAGCACCAGAGAGATCATTACTGAAGTCGTAGGATCTTGGCTGAAACCAGAGAATACCAGAAGGATGTTTGTGTTTTATTAATTATGCAAAGTCATTAGATTATGGTTAACACTGAGAAGAATGAGAACACTTAATTGTGTTTGTGTGAAACTTATACCTAGACCAAGAAGCTGTTGTTCCAACAGAGCAAGGTGACACTCCATGATTTAAAATCAAGATATGCATCAGGGCTGAATCCTTTCTCCATTCATACTCAATTTGTAGGCTGAACAAATTATTCAAGAAACTGGATATTTATGAGTAAGATATGTGGCATCAGGAGAGGAAGACTCATTCAACAATCTATGTTGACATAACCTTGCTTGCTGAAAGTGGACTTTCAAGCACTTGCTGTAGAAGATCAAACAATACAGCCTTTTATACGGATTGCATCCCAACACCAAGAAAACAAAAATCTTCACCACTGGGCTATTAAGGAACAACATCATGATAGATGAGGGAAAGATTAAAGTTGTCAATGATTTCATATTACTTGTATCCATGGTCAACACCCTTGATAACAGCAGTCAAGAAATTAAAAGATGTGTTGCATTGGGAAAACTACTGTCAAGGTCCTTGCCAAAGTTCTAAAGAGCAATGATGTCATTTTTAAATATTAAGGTGCACCAGATTCAAGCCATGATCTTTTAAATTACTTGCTATGCATCTGGGCACTAAGGTGCACTTGATACAAGCCATGGTCTTCACAGTTACTTGCAATGCATCAGAGAGATAGACAATGACTAAGGATGGTAGAAGGATTGATGTCTTTGAGTTGTGGTGCTGGAGAAGAATACTGAACATACTGTGGACTGCCAGGAGAACAAATAGGTCTGTCCTAGAAAGGGTGAAACCAAGCTGTTCCCTAGAATACACACACACACACACACACACACACACACACACACACACACAATAAATAGAGAGAGAGACACTAAGGTGGGCCATAGTCTTTGCAACAGCTTGCTATGCATCAGAAAGCAGGACAATAACTAAAGATGATAGGAGAATTGATGCCTTTGAGTTGTGGTGCTGGAGAAGAGTATTGAATATATACAATAGACTGCTAGGAGAACAAATAGGTTTGTCGTAGAGAGGATGAGACCAGGCTGCTCCTTGGAGGCAAGGATTCTGAAGCTTCGTCTGACAAACTTTGGACATGTTGCAAGGCAGGACCAGTCCTTGGAGAGGGATGTCATACTTGGGAGGGTGGAGGGACAGTGCAAGAGAGGAAGACCCTGGATGGGATGGATCGATTCAGTGGCTGGGATAATTGGGGTAGGTGTGTCAGAGACAGTAAGATTGGCACAGGACAGAGCAGGGTTTAGGGCTGTTGTACATGGGGTTGCTATGAGCGGTAGGCGACTTGATGGCACATAACTACAACACTATATATGTAATTCCAGAAGAATGGATTGTGCTAATGTGAAACCTATACTTAGTCCAGGAAGCAGTTATCAGAACAGAGCAAGGGAACACTTTGTGGCTTGGAAGACAGGCCTGGTAACCTGCTTCCAGAAGACCACACACAACCTCGAGAACCATCTGAGGCACAGTTGGTTCTACTCCTACACACATGGGTGGTACCCTAAGTTTGAATCAACTCAGTGTCAACTAAAAACACTCTCATTGTGGTCAAGTCAGAACTTCCATCGAATTTCACCTGACCCTCCATTGGGTTTTGGAAATTGTTAATCAACAGCAGGAGAGGACACATTTTTCTCCTACAGAGCTGCTGCTGCCGTTATCAACCATCGTAGCTGACCCTCCAGCGCGTTTTCAGAGACAGTAAATTGCGTGAGAGGAGGTTGCCCATCTTCCTCCCGAGGAGCAGCTAGTGGCTTTGAAACACACACCTTTGGGTTGGCAGCACAATTCCTTACCACTAAGCGACCAGAACTTCCTTTCTTATAAGAATGGTTGTAAATCTTGATGGAAGTAGATGAACTGCAGCATCTTTCTTTTCCAACAGCTGGTGAGTTGGAGCTGCCCAACTTTTGGTTAGCAGTCAAGTGCCTTAACCATTGTGACACCAGGATTTCCATATGTATTTCAGTGTCATGTTTTAAACATTGTATTACTTGTACACGCATAACATGGGAAAACGAGACATACTTTTCTTTAAAATTAGACCCTAGGGATTCTTTTACGGTTCATAAGCGTGATGATTGGGTGTTCATGCTTTTATATGACATGTGCCTCCCTTAAACCTGTCTGACATAAAACAAAACAAAACAAACAAACAAAAATCTTTGGGGTCAAACTAGTTCTGTGGCCTAGACTTGGTCGGTGGGTAATTAATTTTCCACTTAGGCTACAGGGTGATTGTTGTTAGATGCCTGTGGAGTGGATCCCATACCATCCTCACCATCTCAAAATTACTTTGTCACTTAAGGCCAATCAGTTCACCTCCCTGAGCTTTTCAGCTCGTTTTCTCGTGCGTGAAAATGCGGCCTTGATCCGTTCTCAAACGAGATCAAGTGCAAAACGCTGGCGTAAAAATAAACAGGAGCGGTAGCTTGTAAGGTGGTCGATTTGAGAAGGATGTATTTCAAGCAGCACAATTTCCCAAAGAGACCATAAGACAGGGAAGGAAAGCCTGCAGGGCAGGGAAAAGGAAAGGAGGGGTGGAGAAAACAGCGAAGGAAAGAGCAGGCAGAAGGGTCCGCCCTCCAGGCGGGGCGCCAGCGAGAGGCCCAGGACCCGACTGGAGCGCACGTGGCCTATTCCAGGCGGTGAAGACGCGGCGCCCAGTGGCAGTGGAGACCCCTGAACGGCCGCAGGAGAAGAACCTCAGGGGTAGGTCAGAGATAGGCGGCAAGGATCTTAAACGCTGGGCCCAGGAACCAGGGACCGCGGGCGCTAGGAGACAGTGAAGCTACTGGTCTTCTCTCCCCATAGCTGGGGGCTGGATGCCCGGGTCATCTAGGCCCCGCCTACATGGGGCGGGGCCCGCGAGCAGACCAATGATCGTTCTTACTCAGGACCCCGCCCCTCCCCTCCCCTGGAGTCGCGGCCTCGTAGAGCGCTCAACCGCTGGGCGCCCGGGCCTGGGGCGGCGCGAGCGCGGAGCTTGCGGCTGGTGAGTGCGCCCCCCGCGCCCCCTCCGGGGTCTCCGGCGTGATCCTGCGCCCCTGAGCTCAGGATGCCGACCTGGGACCAGAGGAGTGACTCAGCGCGGGGAGGGTGGCGACTCCCGGAGGCTGAGGATTCTGTTAAGGACCTTGAATGCTGAGATGAGAGGGGGGTGGAAAGGGTGACTTCTGAGCTGGCCCCCGGCGGTTCTGGGGCATGAGGCTAGGCTGCAGGGGGGAAAGTGGAGACCAAAGCTGGGCAGGAGAGGTCACGGTTGCACTGCTTTGCCTGGGCCAGGGCCATGGTGGGAGGGTGGGTTCTGAGCTACTGACTCAGCTCCCCACCCCAGGACAGCAAGATGCCTGGTGAACAGCAGGCAGAAGAAGAGGAGGAGGAAGAGATGCAGGAAGAGATGGTGCTCCTGGTGAAGGGTGAGGAGGATGAGGGTGAGGAGAAGTATGAGGTGGTGAAACTCAAGATTCCCATGGACAACAAGGAGGTATGTGTTAACATTGCCCACAAACCTGGTCCAGGCCCAGCCTCCCTAGACAGAAGCAGGAACGCTGTTCCTTCTTTGCCCTGAATCTCATAGCTAGAATGTCATGGTTGGTCTATCCACCCACCCACTGCCCATGCTGTTATTATACTGTGCCAGGAACTGTAATAAATGCTGGGGGAGCATGATGTCTATCCCTGATTCCCCATAGAGCTTGATGTTCAGCTTGCAGGTGTGTGTGTATGTGTAGCCTAGAGGTAGGAATTTAATTCTTGGAGGGAAGAGGCCAAGGTTAGGTTTCATCAACAGTAACAACTAACTTGCATGGCATATATTCGTTGCTAGACACAGTTCTAAGTATCTCGGCTCCATGATGTAGGTCGTAATCGTCCCATTTTACAGATGAGGAGACTAAGCTGATGAGTTCATCAGCTCAAGGTGGCAGAGCTTGGAAAGGAAAGGCTAATCAGAGAGCAGGAGGAGTCTTTGAGAGGTTAAGTGCTCCAGACAGAGGTAATGATAGTTCAGAGGCTAGGAGGAGTGTTTGTGGCACTAGGTAAAGTCAAGGCAGGTGATTCAATCCCGCTGCCTCATGGATGAGGCCAGGTTAGGAGTCTGGGTTTTTGAGGTTTTAAGGAGAGGAATATAAGGAAATCAGAATATAAAGTCAGATTTCCCCTTCTAGGTTCTAACAGCCATCAGATATCTTTTCAGTCCCACAAGACTCTAATTGTTCCCAGCCAAAGTACCCTGCGTTCAGCTGGAGGACTCCCAATGGGATGGGTTTCTGGTTTAGGCTCCTTCTGATTCCCTGCGCAGGGGACAGTTCCTGGGGAAAGAGTTCTGTTGTCCCCTAGGGTTCATGTCAGGCCCTAGCGGAGGGCACTGGCTCCTAGACCTCTAGCTCTGCTTGTCTAGGGCTTCCTAGCTCATCCTGGCCTCTTCTGACCCTGTCTCCATCTTTCACCTATAAATTAAGAACACAGAGTTTAGAGACTTCCAAGCTCATCTCTTACCAGCTGTGTGACTTTGGGAAAATATCTTGATCTCTTTGTACCTTAGTTGCCTTGTTTATAAAAGGGGAAATTATAAGACCATTTATTTCTTGAGATTGTGAAAATTTGTTAACACAGTGAAATGCTTAGAACTGTGGCACTTTATGAAACATTTATTTATTGCTATTATTAATTCTTCTCTCTTACGTTTAGGACTGATTTTAGGCTCATTCATTCTGCTAGAGGTTTTTCAGCTCATTTAAGAGCTTTCTGGGCTGAGCACTGTTCTAAAGTAGCGGCAGTGAATTTGAAGAGAAGTAGGTATTTGGGGGCATCCTGAGTAAGCTAACTGGCAGAGGATGTGTATGCTGTGACCATAGGGATAATCATAAAAAGTTCATAGCGCCAGCCTTGGCCAAATTTACCAGCTTTGCCTCTACTTTCTCATCTGTAAAATGGGCTCGTGAAAATAAGATCCTTCTGAGAAAGACCATCTTGATGGTTGAATTTGCAGGCGGGTAGGGTTAAAGATTATACACACCTACGCACTGAATGGTGCCCACAGATAGTTTATGAATTTTCCATGTGGCATCTTTGAGCCTCAGTTTCCCTTCTGTAAAATCATGGTCTCCAAAAACATTCTGTGAGTGTTAGCTGTCATCTAGTCTATGGCCTGTCACTGTCCAGAAATAGACAATCAAAATCCATTCAATCTTTAGGGACTAGAAAATCTTTTCTCAGAGGCTCTATACATAGTTAGTTATGTCTCTCCCCTGAGACTTTTGAGTGGTTTTCTGTTTCCCTTGGGATAAAAAAGTCTCTGCTCCTAAACCTGACCTTGATAGCTCTCTGCCATCTAAACCCTGTGTCACTTTAGCTTCATCTCAAGTCACTCAACATTGACCCATCTTGGTCTCAGCCTGTAAGGCCTTCACATTTCCACCTTCACTCGGCACCAGTAAGGAGGCTTAGTGGTGCAAGCTGTTAAGTGCATGGGGGGTAGCTCTTCTGGATCAGTGTTTCTTTTTTATATGTACCATCAAATCAGATCTGACTGGTACAGGAGGAGATTGTCCCTCCTCCAGCAGAACATTTGGTGGATTTGAACCAAGCACCTCTGGGATTGCAGTGCAACTTTTTGCCACTAGGCCACCAGAGCTCGCCTAGATCAGTGTTTCTTAATTTTTTAACATGCATGCATATCCCTGGAAGTCCTGTGGTACAGTGGTTAAAGGAGGTTGGCTGCTCATGGAAAGATCAGCAGTGTGAACTCACCAGCCACTCCAAGATGTGTCAGTCTAATTCTGCAAAGATTTCGACCATTGGAAACCATGCAGGGAAACTGGGGGGAATATTGTTAAAATGAAGGTTAATTAAGTCTAGGATGGGGCCCAGGAGTCCGTATTTCTTGCACGTTTGCAATTATGTTGATGTCGCTAGTCCGTGGACTGGACTTTCTTTAATAAGGGGTACATATTTTGCATTTTATACCAAAAAGAAGGGAGATTACTGCCGAGACGGTCCAGGGATGGAGACAAGCTGTGCAGGTAACTTCAAACTCTAGTCAACAAAATAAAACTGCATCATGACTCAGATGGTTTGGACAAAGTCAGACTTTTAGTTCAAATGCTGGCTCTGCCATTAATGAGATAGAGTGGCCTTGGGAAATGACTTTATTTCTAAGTATTTCCTTATCTGTGAAATGGAACTAGTAAGATCTAACAAAAGATTTAAAGGAGAATGTTAATGAAAAAGCACTTAGCACAGTTCTTGGCACATAGTAAATGCTGATGAAATGGATGTTGTTACTACTGTTATTTTTTTAAAAAATAATTTTAATGAGCATTTACAGAGATTTTGGATTTCCATTCATTCATTGCGCTACTGTTATTTTTAATTAGAAAAGTAATAGCAGATCCTTTCCCGGTTCATGCGCATGATGATTGGCTGTTCATGCTTTTGTATGACATGTGCCACCCTTGTTACGACATGGGCACATTACCTGTCTGACGTGAAAAAAAAAAAAGAAAAGTAATGGCAGACAAAGAAAGTCAGTTTTAAAAAGCACTTGAGCAGGAAGAGAAGATTATGAAGTTCAAATTGTTGTTACTTGCCGTCGAGTCCAACATGACTCATAGGGACTCCATGAACATATAACTATAACTGTTGTTGTTTCTCAAAGTTCATAGAGTTTCTAGAGGCATGGTATTTAGGAAGTGGATGCCACTTCTGCTTCCAAACTTCAAATACCTGGATTATTATTGTTATACAACACGGTACCTCATAATACCTTCTTCCTTGGTAACTATTCCTAGGTTTAATTTGTCAAATCAGTTTATGTTCTTCTAAACAATAACATTGATGAAATTACGGGTTTGAGGCGATTGAATGTTTTCCTATAATACGAATGCTATTGATTCTAATTTTTACATCAAGTAGTTGTAGCATTGGAGACATGTATGTGGATCCCTAGTGGTGCAGTGGTTAAACGTTTGACCGCTAATGGAGAGGTCGGTTGTTGGAACTCACCAGACCTACCAGCCACCCCACTGAGGGAGAGAGACGCAGCGTTCTGCTTCTGTAGAGCTTCACAGCCTTAGAAACCTTATGGGGCGGTTCTGCTCTGTTCTGGACTGAGGCAGAATCAACCCAGTGGCCGTGAGATGGGCCTCTAGTGATCACACTACCTGGTATTTGCCAAGTATTAATCACATGTATATCCCTGATAGGCTTAGATTTATTAATGCTTCTGATAGATTTGTGTTAATTTGTCAAATCAATTTACATTACAGTCCTCTAAATAGTAACACGGATGAAATTACAGGTTTGATGCGATTGAATGTTTTTCTAATGTTCATGAAAATAAATACATAATGATTATTAGGAGCTAAACTTTTGCCCACACATTGCCTACCCTCCTTTTTCACTGTGTAGGGTGCATACCTCAAGTTGGAAATGCTGAGCTTGTCTAGCCAACTCGTCTTCTCTGGGACTGGGGCAGGGGATGAGAATGACTTCCCCAACGGCTGAAGGAGCTGGGCTCAGCCTGTCTGCCAAAAGTTCTTATCTGGGTCCCCAGACCCCCTCTTTTTGAATCTAGAGACACAAAGGGTACTTGTATGAAGAATTTCTTTTTCCTAAGTCAATGAATTCGGGCCTGAGGAAGTCCTTAAACTGGCTCAAGTCATCTTAAAGAGGGGTGCCAAGGGCTAATGAGCCAAGAGAATGTATAAGTAATGACAGATGATCTCTTGGCAGTGGTTGGTGGTTTGAAACAAATCCAGCAGTTGTCAAGCCCAGGACAAGACCGGAGAGTGTGACCTTGACTCCAGCCAAGCCAGTTGTGAGGGAACTTGGAGTTGGGCCTGTGCTGTGCCTTCACCGTGTTGGTGCAGGGACACACTATAGCCTGCTGGTTAAGGTTCTGCTCTAGAGTCAGCCCTGAGCCCTCCTGGCCATGTGATTTTAATCTATTAGGCTTAGATCCTGAAATTCAGATTTCTCACCTATGAGCCAAAGGAATAACAGGAGTTATTTGCTATAACAATGTATGCAGAATAACAATGTATACAGAATAGTGTTGTCAAAGCCTCAACACTAAAATGTGAATGATCATAATACCCTTCAATGTCTTCTTTCAGCCAGGGTTTTTTCTGGCTGGTCTCTAATGCCCCAGGGGCCGTGTTTTCCTATTCTGAGGTGGTTACCACCAAGCCACTAATTCTTTCATACAAAGACTGTTAAAGGTATGGCCAGCCTTTCCTCTCCTTGCAGCCTCAGAAGCAGAGGGCAGTGCCTGACTTAAAGTCTGTCCTTGACTCCATTGTAAGTAATTCCTGATGTAAGTATAATACCTTCTCGCCCCCTGCCTGCCACCCAGTTTATTATTTGTCTTTTAATGTCGGTATCTTTCTAAATCCAATATTTGAGCATGAGAGAGTGAACATCTGAGAATGGCACCAGCACATTACACTCACTGTAGCATTGTATGATATAGTACATGTTACTGGCAATAAGAGGTGCAGAACTACCCTCCCCAAACAGTTTAAGTGCTGTTTTATTCATCATAATCATACCTGACTGTGCCATGTATTAAGGACTACTGTTCAGGGCTGAACGTATCCCCAGGATCTCTTCCCCTCGACTCAGGACCCCTCCTCCCCTTGCCAAGAGTGTGGTTTGCATTTCAAGCCTCCTGTTTCCTGGCTGTCACTTACCCCCTCCAAACCCGTTTCCTGATGTGTGAAGATGGAACATCTAACCCTGCTTTGTTCCTAGTATGTCTGTATTTGGTTGTGAATTAATGGTGTTAACTGCTTGGCCCACAGATGACTTGTTGGCATCTGTATTGCTGGGATGCCTGTTGGATCTTTTGAGAAACAGCATGCCCTTAATATTCCTCTTCACCCTGATAATTAAAAATATTTTCCCCTCACTTCACTCCTACAAAGCATTTCTCTCCTTTTTCTGATTTTATCTCCGTTTTATCCATAGAAGTCCAATGAAACTGGCCTCTTTTCCATTCTGCTTCACTTCAGGCTGCAAAACAGCATTTGGGTTTTGCCCTGGCCTTTTTTCTTCCACAGTGTTAAAAATGGTAGTTCTTTTTTGAGAGCTAAAAAGCTGCTTGCTCTTAAAAGTTTAGTTAAGAGCGTGGATGTGGTCCTGGCCAGCTCCCCTGACACACATCTCCCTCCTGCCTCTCCTGTCTCACTGACTGCTCCTCCCCAGTCTCCCGTTGCTGCCTCAAGTTCCCAAGCCCTTTCTTTCCTGGGTGGCCTCATCACAGGGCTTTACACACCGGCTCAAATTTACATCCCTGGCCTTGGCTCCCATCCTGAGCTTCAGATGTGTCCATCCAGTTTGGATGTACAAATTGTAAATAGGTCCCATCTTTCACCTGGCTCCTCTTACTATCATCCTATGTATGCAGTTGCTAAGATAAAAAATTTGGAGAGGCCTTTAAACTCTTGTTTTGACCTTATATCTAATCTCTTATCAAAGTTGAAGTCTTAAACCAAAATTCATCCAGAAGCCACCCACTTCTCACCACCTTTCTCACTAAGTCAGAACCACTGTCTTATTTTGCCAGATGATCTAGTTACTTTGTCACTGATCTGTTCCCAAGCCAGCACCCTGGAAGTCTGATGTAGTAAAAAACCTGCTAATATCTTGTCTTATGTCTCCCTCTGGTGGCCTAGCGGGTAAGGAGCAGCATTGCCAACCCAAAGCCACTTGGAGGGAAAAAGTAACTTCAATATTCAGTGGGTTTATCACTTACTCTCAAAACCTCATTGTCATCAAATCAGAACCAACTCATAGCTGACCCTCCAGGGGAGTATTCAGGGGCTGTAAATTGCACAGGAAGAGATTGCTCAGCTTTTTCCTTCAGAGCCATGGATTCAAACTGCCAGAGAGGAACCTCCTTTGGGTTAGCAGTGCAGTGCTCTGCCGACTGTGCCACCAGGGAGCCCCACTCTGCAGAGTTGGGGAATAAAACTTTTTTAGCCCTGCACTTTGCTAGTAGATGGAGAGAGGAGAGCAAAGAGAGCATTGGAAATATTGCTGCTATAATTGTCATAAATTCTGTGAACAGTTGGGAAGCTAGAGAAAAGACTTCCCAGACTGCTGGGGAGGTTTGAGCAATATGGTGCCATGTGGCTTTCACACAGTATTTCTGTACATCAAGAGCGTCCCTGGGGCAAGGAGAAGAGATGGAGGAGGTTTACTGTATAACTTTATTGCAGTGAATGACTGTTTTCTGAGTTTTGCTTTTTAGGGATCAGCAAATTAAATCCTTGAGACTGGCTCGGCATAGGGCAGGGTTCAGAGCTGTTGTACATAGGGTCACAGTGAGTCTCAAAGTTTGTATACATATGTTTCATACAATCACTACCATGCATTATGTTTTATAATACAGCTTCTTGTTGGCAATGAGTTTGGAATTTTTGAGAGTTGAGGACCCCTCTATCTTACTCATAGTAAAACCTAAAATCCCCACTGTGGCCAACAAGCCCTGAAGGGAATTTCATCTCCTTATTCTTCCCCGCTCTAGCGGTTTTAAAATTCCCGCTCCCTCCCCCACCCCTGCTGCTTTTGGAACTCAGCAGGTAAAGTCCGGGGCCTTGCTGCTGTGCCATGTGATGCTCTGCTTTCTCACCTCCTTTTGATCTTTGCTCTTTTTACCTTACCAGTAAGGTTTATATAAATTTGCAGCATCCCCCAAATTTAACACTCCCTGTGTATCTTTATTGAAAAGGTGCGTTTTTATTCAGTCCTGAATTCCCAGTGCCTAGAACAGGGGCTGGCACATTGTATTCACTCAGTAAATATCTGTTTAATTAATAAAGAATTGCTAATCTTAGAGCACCCAATATCACCTGGCATTAATAACATGAGCGTTGCATGGATTATTCTCTCATTTATTGCGATGCCGTTTTTATTTTTAGCAATGGGAAAATGAGGCCCAGAGAGGTTGGAGCTCGCAGAGACCGAAGCCTGCGGTTTCGGGGCCTATCTATTAGGGCTGATCTGTGCCCCCTTTCCCCGCAGGTCCCGAGCGAGGCGCCTGTGCCACCTGCCGACCCGACACGCCCACACGCGTGCCCGGACTGCGGCCGCGCCTTCGCGCGCCGCTCCACGCTGGCCAAGCACGCGCGTACGCACACGGGCGAGCGGCCCTTCGCGTGCACCGAGTGCGGCCGTCGCTTCTCGCAGAAGTCGGCGTTGACTAAACACAGCCGCACACACACAGGCGAACGACCCTACGAGTGCCCCGAGTGCGACAAGCGCTTCTCGGCGGCCTCGAACCTGCGGCAGCACCGGCGGCGGCACACTGGCGAGAAGCCATACGCATGCGCGCACTGCGGTCGCCGCTTCGCGCAGAGCTCCAACTACGCACAGCACTTGCGCGTGCACACGGGCGAGAAGCCGTACGCGTGCCCGGACTGCGGGCGCGCCTTCGGCGGTAGTTCGTGCTTGGCGCGCCACCGACGCACGCACACGGGCGAGCGGCCGTACGCATGCGCCGACTGCGGCACGCGCTTCGCCCAGAGCTCGGCGCTGGCCAAGCACAAGCGGGTACACACGGGCGAGAAGCCGCATCGCTGCGCCGTGTGTGGCCGCGGTTTCGGCCACCGCTCCAACCTGGCGGAGCATGCGCGCACGCACACGGGCGAGCGGCCCTACCCGTGCTCTGAGTGCGGCCGCCGCTTCCGCCTCAGCTCGCACTTCATCCGGCACCGGCGCGCGCACATGCGGCGCCGCCTGTTTATCTGCGCCGGGTGCGGCCGGGACTTCAAACTACCCGCAGGCGCCACAGCTGCTACTGCCACAGAGCGCTGCCCGGAGTGCGAGGGCAGCTGAGCCGCCGTTCTTGTCGCCTCCGCTGGGGGCCCAACTTGGCAGCTGCGTTATCTTGGACAATCCTCTTCCCTAGCGTCGAGGCCTGGGAAAGCGTGGGACGGCAGTCTGGCTGCCCGCTACCATAGGGAGAATCCCTCGACGGGGGCCTTGAAAACTGCCAACCTCCCCTCACTACATCCCCTCGTCCGTGTTGGTGAATAAAGTATTCTATCCTTACTCTCCCGTGCCTGTGAATGAGGTGGGTGGGGAGAAAAGTGGGCGTTTCCCCTAGCCTTGGGTGATTTCAATTGTTAAGGTCCCAGAAAATGCTTCCTCCAGCTGGGTGCGTCATCCCACACACAGCCCTTAATTATGTCATAACATAATGGCCTGGAGGGGCCTATAAATACAACACGTATATGACTAAGCACTGTTTTCTCAAGGCTTGAACCTCATGGAGTTACACAATTGTTTATATGGATGGTAACAGTAATTTAGAAACCTTTTGCTGTCAAATTGGCTCCAATTACTCTTAACCTTGAAGACTAGACCTGCCCACCTGGGATTTCCCAGGCTGTAAATCTTAATGGAAGCAGGCTGCCTCATTTTAAGACGCTGGTGTGGGTCCCAACCACCTACCTTGAAGTTAGCAACCAAGGCTTTTAACCACTAAGCCACCAGTGTGCCTTTTAAAGTTTTATAGCACTAGAGGCTTTGAAAGCTGCTCTGGACAAATAGTAGTCCTATACCTGGACTTGAATACTGTTCACTATAAATATGTATGTAGACGTTAGGAGCTTCTTTCATCTCTGTTTTTGTAAACAGGAATGGCAGAGCAAGGATAAAAGGGACAACTGCAGCCCAGTGCATTGGAGCTATGGTGGGAAAAGCTACTGCTTTTTATATAGGAGGGGTCCCCAATGCAATTTTGAATTTTAGGGGCGTTCATAGGGTTGCTACGAGTCGTTTATGACTCGATGGCACTTAACAACAACAACAACATAGAGGTCAGTTGGCCTAGTGGACAGAAAGCGATGATACCAAGCCAAAGGTGGGTGATTTTAATCTGCAGCCTTCAGGCCTGGTTTTAATTGTTTTTGGGTAAACTTTCTAAGTAGTATAGCTCTGGTCTGTCCATTTGCTGTACAGAGGTAACTCATGGTTGTTGTGACGCTGAACACTGTCAAATGCGATAATGGTTACTCATGGTGGACAGTGTTTGGTGAAAGCTTCACAATTAAAACAAGCTTGGAAGCAGGAGTGGCAGCCACTTCCAAAATAGCTTGCCACCAGACACCCTATGAAGTTGGAGAAACAATGAAAGTTATACAAGTGTTCAGGTCTTTCGTTCATAGGGTTGCTATGAGTCAGCTACGGCTCAAATGCATTTAACATTTCCAGATGTGTCTGAACTGAGTCTTAAAGGTCAAATGAGTTAAGATTGGAAAGTGAGCCCCTGAAACTTGCAGACAACACCTAGGGTGGGATGTGAGGCCCTGAAGCAGGGAGGCTGGCAGGAGAGAAGCATGAGAAGTAGACTGCATGAGTGATTGCCCATCTTTCTCCCTCAGAGGAGCTCGTGGATTTGAACGGCATACTTTCTGGGTTGGCAGTGCAGCTTCTTATGCGAGGTCACCAGAGCTTCCTTTTATTTTCATTTAAAAAATGAGAAAACCAAGGCACAGAAAAATAAGTGTCAAAAAAGGAACTGACTGGCCCTAGAATCTTTACTCTTCACCACCAATACAGCCTCCTTTACAGTCTTGGAAGGAGGGAAGGCATGGGAAAGAAAGCAAGTTTCTCTGCCCTGCAGGTAGGAAGGACATAAGAGGAGGGCTCAGAGATACTCCTGGTCTCCCTCCAGCACCCGCTGGAAACATTCTTCTAAGCCACCCCAGGAAGAGACCAGAGGGAGCTTCCCTAAACCGTTTTATTGGGAGAGAAAACAGAATTTTGATTCCCAGAGTTCCCTGGACTTCAGACCTCAGGAACTGGGGACCCCGGCTCAAGGTTTGTTAGGAACAGACAAGATAGTCTGTGACCAGGCTCCCTTCTGCCTGAGATCTTGTTCTGAATTGCAGGGCCTGTGCCTGAGTTTCTAGGTGTCAGCCTGGTCGGTGGACTCATGGGCAGGGTCTGCAGACTCCATCACCTGGTCTTTGGAGGCAGCCCCATGGGGCAAGTCCGTATACTTGCAGGCGGAACCACGGGCGAGATGAGCTGGGTAACGTTGCCGGTTGGTTTCCATCTTAGCGAGCACTGCTTTGGGCAGATCCACTCGGCAGCGGGCTGCCAGTGCCACCAGGTAGATGAGGACATCACTAAGCTCCTCCTGAAGGGCTACCTGCAACTTGTGAGGCCACATCTGGGGTGTAAGCTCATCGGGCTTCCATTGACTGGCGGGGGGTAAAACAGACAGACATGTGAAAATACAAGCTGGGACAGTGGGCTTAGCCTCTCTCAAGAGGACCTCAATTCTTGTAGGGATCGGCTCAGTCATCCTCAAGTTCTTTTGAGGCAATCCACCCTATCTGGGCCAAGTCAGGATGGGGAGAAGACCCCAGCTGAGGAGTCACTGACTTCTATGCCCCTATCTTGAGCAAAGGGACAAGAGAACATTTCACTTGTTCAGACAAAGCTGTGAGGCCCAATTCCACTCCTTTCCAGCCCTACCATTGTTATGCTGGCCAAATCTCGGGTCTGGACCACTGCAGAACTCATCTCTCCATCATTTAAATGCACAGAATACGTTTTCTTTCACTCCTAACCTTCCACCCCGAAAGTGCTGGGAATTAATTCCAAAGTCCTGATCATGGATCAAGTCCTTCCAGGCCCTGTAGTGACTGAACTCTTCCAATGTCACTACCACTTTCTCCCACTTCTCAGGCCCCCTTTTCTGTCTCACCAACAGATCAAGCACTCACAGGGCCTTTGCACTTCCTGTATGCTCCCTCCACTCTAAATGGCCCTGCCCAGACTTCCCCATGGTGACCTCATCCCTGCTATTCAGGTCTCCATTCAGATGTCACCTCCTCAGCTTTCTTCCTTCCAATCACCTCTCATCTTGTGTTATTTTCCTCATAGTACACATCACAATCCCAGACCTTTTAAAATTCACTTTTTTTTAACTGTCTCTTTCCACTAAAATTTCAATCATGTGAAGGTAGAAAATGAGCCTATCCGAGACCCTATTTCTTGAGTTTAGAAGGTGTATCACATAAACGCGCGACACTCATAAACTTGTAATAAATGATTTGTATACCTAGAGACAGACACACACTAGTGTTCTCATTCCTCCAACCTCAGTTTACATCCTCCTCCTCCTCCTTGGTCTCCCCACCACTCCTATCTGGTCAAATTCATGTCCAAAGCCCATCACTTACTAGGTAACCTTTATTTTCCTGTGCTGTTCTCCCATCTCTTTCTTCCACAGTCTTACAATTGGGAGACCCCAGAGAATAGAACAAATGGAATTCATTCTCCTAGATTTTAACTTAGCCCTTTCTTGATCTTTGTAAATATAGTTTCCTTTCTGGAATGCCATACGCAGGTCTTTGACAGAATACCTTCTCCCAACCCAGAGGCAGGGCTTTTGCCACCATCCCTTCTAAGATCCAGATCAACTATGCCCTTGTCACATTCTCTCCCTGAGCCAGAATCCTTCTACAGGGTAAAGATGAGTGAGGTATCTCTGTATCCAGAGCCTAGCAGTGAAGACGGGGCAAGTGAATCCATGAATGCTTCCCTCTCCTTCCCCCACAACACATAAACTTTTCCAGGAAGCGTTCTGTTTACTCACAAGATCTCTGCCAGCTCTCCTACTTCCCCCACCAGGGCCAACAGGAGGTTCCGAGGTTGGTGGAACTGATCCCAGTCTCTTTCAGCAGCAAACTCAGCATGGAGTTGTCGGCTAGAATAGGACAAAGGATTGGAAGCCCAAATTCCCTGAGCTTGGGGGTGGGGGAGGAGACACAGGCAAAACGAATATCCTAGTTATATATAAAGGGGATACAGGCAGCAGGAGGTCTGCTATAATTCCCCGGGGAAACAATTTGTCAGTGGGGCTTAGTTTCATCTATTGAACAGTTTATCTCTATACACATGTTAAACTCTGGCAAAATCGTACCCTCCAACCCATTATCCCATCTGCTGCTTATGTTGCCTTCTCTGCATGGAATATCCTAAGCCCTGTCTAGCTTCAGGGTTACTTCGTCTAAGAAGAAACCTTCATGGTTTTCTCTAGAGAAAATGATCTCCCATTTCCCAGCACTTCATGCACCCCTGTTCGGCTACCTACTCTCAGTGGTTAAAGTACTGTGACCTCTGGTCATCTCCCCAGAGCTGTGCAGAGGGTAGCCCTTGTATTACAGGGGTTAATTTAGTTTTCCCCACCCTCAGGTGTTCACTGATGCATCCGTTTTATTGAAGGCTCGTTCAAGGCCAGCCAGCGGACCCGGGCGTTGCAGCCAGCCTTCTGCTTGACCTCGTGGAGGGACCCTCCCACAATAGGAAGGAGAGAGGTGATCGCCCCAGCCTGGCCTGGGCAAGGCTTACATGTCCTCCAGCGTGGGCTCCGGGCTAAAGCTGAACGCGCCGGCCGGGGCAGCACCCTCTCCGCCCTCTGCCTCCCGCGCATCACCCTCTCCGCCCTCCGCCTCCCGCGCGTCGGCACCGGCACCAGACATGCTGTCCATCCCGCAGCAGTCCAGGATGCACGCTAGAACCCCGCGCCAAACGCCAAGCGGAGACCCTGGCCAATGACGACGGCTACCCCGCACCGAGCCGGAGGAAGGACCAATCACTGTGCTGGCCTTTGCTACAGCCCACCCCTTGCCCGCGCTGGGCCAATCTGAGGGTCCTTTAGGAGGGCCCTTCTAGGCTGAAGCACTCGAATTCTCCTTCTTGGTCAAGCTTCTTAAAGATACAGGTACAAGTGGAAGAGACAAAGAGAAAGGGCCGAGGAAAGGCGAGTATAGGCGTCCCCGATGAGCGCCAGATGGCGCCAAAGCGAAGTGGGAAGAGACTAAAGCTGGAACCCAGACAGTGTTACCAGGTGCAGAGAGTCAACCAACCCCAACTCCTAGCGACCCTCTGTACAGCAGATGGAAACTGTCTCCCATCCCAGCGCCATCCATACAATCTCTGCTATGTTTAAAGTCCATTGTTGGAGTCACTGTTGCAATCTTTCTGGTTGAGAGTGTTTCTCTCCTTGACCCTCCACCTTTCCCAGAGACTAGCCTCTCCTGACAACACACCTAAAGTGTGTGAGATGAAGTCTCTCCATTCTCACCATTTCACCTCGAGGGAGCACTCTGGTTCACTTCTTTTTAGATAGATTTGTTTGTTCTTTTGGCAGTCCATGGCTTAATCAATATTCTTTGCCAACCCCACAATTCTTCTTTGATCTTCTTTATTCCTTATCTAACTTTCACAGTGAAGTCGAGGAGGGACAAGTTTCTCGTTCATAGTGTCGTTATGAGTCGCCTACGACTTGATGGCACTTAACAACAACAGCATAGAGAGATCAGTTGGCCTAGTGGACAGAAAGTGATGCTACCAAGCCAAAGGTGGGTGACTTTAATCAGTGGCTTTTGGGCCTGTTTTTAACTTTTTTTGTCAAACATTCTTCTAGGTCGTGTAGCCTTGGTCTGTCCAGTTGCTGTACAGAGGTAATTCGTGGTTGCTGTGAAACTGAACACTGTGACACTGATGTGTCAAATGCGATAATGGTTATCCATGGTGAACAGTGTTTGGTGGAGCTCCCTAATTAAAATAAGCTTGGAAGTAGGAGTGGCACCCACTTCTGAAATAGCTTGCCTCTGGAAACCCTTTGAACCTGGAGAAAGGATGAAAATTATATAAGTGCTCAGGTCTTTCGTTCATAGGGTCGCTATGAGTCGCCTACAACTTGACAGCACTTAACAACAACTTTCACAGCATATGAAACAGTACAAAATATCATGGCTTGGATCAAGGCTTACATGTAATTTTTAAAATAAAGTCCCTGTTCTTCACCCTTTAAAGAGGCCCTTGACAAGAAGATATGCTCAATGCAATGCATATTTTGATTTATTGAGGGGTTTTCCTTGTGTCTTGATGGTGATTCCAAATAAAAGGATCCTTGACAATTACACCTTTTTCTTCATGTATCCGGGTCCCCAGCCCCCCACCATTCCCCACAGGGAATTAGACTCAGCCTCTTGTTTAAAGAGAGGAAATTAATTGGACCTCAGTAAAAATTATAGGCCTTGGAACACATGGCTTTCTGCCAACCTTTCCAGCCTCTTAGGAGATCACTGTCTGATGGCCATTCACAGAGCACACAAAACAAGCAAAGCCATTTTATGGGTCTCTGAAGACGCCAAGCTCACTTACTTACATTAAAGAATTTATGAGATGGTGAATCATGGAATCATTCTTTTAAATCTGAGAACTGAGTTAACAGCAACAAGTTGTCAGATGCCATTCAGTCATCCCGGACTCATAGCGATCCTAGGTACAACAGATAGAAACCAAATGGGAAGAACAGGTATAAAACTCAACAACAGTGAGCTCTGTAATCCTGAAGGTGTGCAGTTCGAATCCACCAGAGTCTCTGCTAGAGAAGGATGAGTAATCTCCTCCTGCTCCTGTCGGCTCTGACTTGAGGGTACGCAACAAGAAAAACAATACAAAACTCAACAATAAATCTTTTGTTTTTTATTGTTAAGTACCATTGGCTGTTCGTTCATAGGGTCGCTATGAGTCGTCTATGACTCGACGGCATTAAACAACAATAACAATGATGACGACCAAGAGAGAGCTATGTTGGCCTAGTGGAAGGAAGCTGTGCTACCAAGTCGAAGGTGGGTGATTGTCATCTGTGGCCCTCGGCCAGGTTCAAATTGTCTTCCTGTCAAACATTCTTCTAGGTGGTATAGCACTGGTCTGTGCGTTGCTGTACAGAGGTAACTCGTGGTTGCTGTGATGCTGAAGCCTGTGACAGGGATGTGCCAGTCGTGGTAATGGGCACCCATGGTGGACAGTGTTGGCTGGAGCTTCCCGACTAAATCAAGCCTGGAAGCAGGAGTGGCACCCACTTCCAAAATGGCTTGCCTTCGGAAACTCTATGTACGAACAGTGCTCAGGCTGTTCGTTCATGGGGTCGCTATGAGTCGTCTACGACTCGACAGCATTAAACAACAACAACACAACCATTGAGTCAAGTACCACTCAGCGAGACCTTGTAACAACAGACCTGAACCTTGCCTTAACCTGTGCCAAACTCACAATGTCAGATGTGCTTGACTGCATTGCTGCGGTCACTGTCCGTTTTTTATCAAGGGTCTTCCTGTCCTTTGCTGACTCTCCACCTTTTCCTACCCTGATGTCTTTTTCTGAGAACTGGCCTCTCTTGACAACATGCCCAAAGTATATGAGACAAAGTTTCATCATCTTTGCCTCTTAAGAAGCATCCTGGTTGTACTCCAAGACAGATTTATCTGTTCTTTTGCCAGTCTAGGGTTATTCAAAATTCTTCCATCAACACCACAGTTCAAAGGCATCAATTCTGTTTTGGTCTTCTTTATTGATTTTCCAACTCTCAGATGAATGTGAAGCAGTTGGAAATACTATGACTTGGATCAGGCACACCTTAGTCTTTAAGCCAATTTACTTATTTTTTAGCACTTTTGAGAAGTCCTTCATAGCACATTTTCCCAGTGCGCATGTCTTCTGATTTCTTGACTGCTGCTACAATGAGTTGCATTGGGAAAATCTGTTAACAAGGACCTTTCCAGAGTGCTGAAAAACGACGATGTTAGTCCAAAGACTCTAGTGAGCCTGACCTATGACATGGTCTTTTCAATTGCTTTTTTATGTATCTCAGAGGTGGACAATGACTAAGAATGATAAAAGAAGTGCCCATGCCTTCAAGCTGGGTACTGGAGAAGAGTATTGAACATACTGTGGACTGCCAAGAGAACAAAGTCTCTTCCAGAGAGGTTGCTCCTTGGAGGCAAGGATTTTTTTTTTAATTTTATTATTTTTGTATGAGTGTACCGTCAAATCAGATCTGACTGGTACAGGAGGAGATTGTTCCTCCTTCCCCTGGCAGAGCATCTGGTGGATTCAAACCGTGCGCCTCTGGGATTGTAGTTGCAGCTCCTTTCCACTAGGCCACCAGAGCTCCCCCTGGAGGCAAGGATTTTGAACCTCCATCTCACATACTTTGGGCATGTTGTCAGAAGGCACCAGTCCTTGGAGAAGGACATCATGCTTGGAAAGGTGGAGGGTCAGTGCAAGAGAGCAAAACCCTGGACTGTGGCAATGGGGTTGAATGTGTCAGAGATGGTGACATTGGCTCAGAGTAGGGCAAGGTTCAGAGCCGTTGTCCATGGAGTTGTTTTGCGTTATAGTCGACAGCACATAACAATCATGAATGTTGATTGTGGATTCAAGTAAAATGAAATTGTTGGCAATGTCAATCTTTCTTCCATCTATCATGATATTGCCTATTCATCTAACGGTGAGGATTTTTGTTTTCTTTTTTTTTTTTTTTTTGAGCAAGAGAAAGAAACAGGTTTACTAGACGTTCATAACAGACTATGAACAGATCAGGACAATCTGACTCCGTTTTTATCTTACAAAGGGGATTATATATCTTTTGTTAGCAGGGAGTGGGATTTAAACAGCTGATAGTGTATTCCTTCTAATGGACGATGGTGACTTTGGCCATCTTGTTTATCTTTTCCTTCAGTCTGTTATTTTGCCACAGTCCTTGAGAGTCTGTCTTTATTCTCATAGAGCCACATTTCTTGAGGGTCATTTTCTATTGTTATATTGCCACAGTCTTTGTCAAATTCAGTTCTGATTGATCTCCTTTGTTAGTGTGTCCTTTGCCATTCCCTGTCACTCCACCCTGAGAGAGATTTCACCTTGATTCATTATGAGGGGAGTGTCTCATTCTCTTAGCTACTTCTGCTGGAAAAGGGCTTTGTAGGCTCTAGGGTGAAGATTTTCTCTCCCTACTCTGAAGGGCCCCTTTGGCAATAGTAAACACATAGACTATTGTGATTGATTTTGGAATTTAGAGGCACTGCTATCATTGTGCTTTGGGGGATAGGTTCATATTGCTGGAGGTGCATCATTTTAACATGAAAATGTTGTGTCAGTGCTCACCCACTGCTCTTCTGGGAGGATTTGAATTATTGAAGCGTCCTCCTTTGTTGCCGGCTGGGAGCTGGTGCCTGTCAATCCTCTGGATTCGGCCATGAGGACCTGATATGGGCAGCCCTTGGCCAGGTGTCGATTTTTGTTTTCTTATTTTATTTATGTGTGTGTGTGTGTGTGTACGTGTGTGTGTGTGCACGTGTGTGTGTACCATCAAGTCAGATCTGACTGGTACAGGAGGAGATTGTTCCTCCTTCTCCAGCTGAGCAACTGGTGGATTTGAACCGTGAACATCTGGGATTGATTTTTGTTTTCTTAATGCATAAGAGAGGAAGACCCTTGATGAAATGGATTAACTCAGTGATTAGGGTAATGGGAGTAGTTGTGTCAGAGGCAGTGAGGTTGGCATAGGATAGATTAGGATTTAGGGCTCTTGTACATAGGGTCGCTATGAGTCACAAGCCACTCGGCGGCACATAACATAACAGCAGTGTTGAGATGTAATTCATATTGAAGGCAGCAGTCACTGATCTTTGGTAATTTC